CGGCGCCTACACCATCCATGGTACCAATAACAGTGCCAGCAGCGGAACCGGTATAGATGGTCACAACCAGCACCGACACTGCACCCAGCACCAGTGGTGCCAGTGACCATGGCACCTTTCTCCCCACCACAATCTACACTGGCACCGTGGGAGGCACCGAGCAGGCATCCTGCTCCTCAGCCTTCAGCTGAGCCTGCAGTTACCACAACCGTTGTCACCGACTAAAGCCCAGTGCATGTCATGCAGGATTATTACTCCTTCACCCAGTCCGGAGTCTATCACCTTTTCTCCGGAGTCTCTGTCGGAACACCACAATCCAACGATACGCATTCCTCCATCGCCCCATCACTATTATCGGCAGCAATGTTTATCGACATCTCCGAGATCACCAAGGCACAGATCCAATTCACCCAGATCGCCCACACTTTCTGCATACACGCGCTGTCAGGATGACCGCAGTGGTTGAGATATTCCTCAAGATACTCCTCGCCGGCAAGACATTACTACGACTGCTACAAGGGTCGCACCTACTACGAACACCACTGCCCATCATGCTACTCCATTTCCCCGCGCTATTCCAGGCATTGGTCACCTTGCTGCTACAGATCAGATGCCAGACGGAGCCAGATCAAATCTCTTCCTCTGGCCGGCACATGGCTGCCTACCCTCCGCCCAAAACCATGCCTGAACTACCTCAGCTTTCTGAGCCTGAGAAAGGTCAGCTCTCAGACCACAAGCAACTACAAGAGCTTTCTCTAACTGATCCATCCTCGTCCTCACCCGACGAGGCAGTAATTCTGGGGGACTCATCACCAACCAATGATCTTCGTCAATTCCAGGACCTTTTTAAATGAGTGGCAGACACTCAGGAGATCCAGCTCTCCGAAATACAACAAAAACAGCACCACCTTTAAAAAATTTGCAGCCCTTCCAAAATGCCAAAGTATCCTTGCCCCTTGACAAGGCTATCTTAGAAATGGTGGACGACATACAGCAGACTCCAGCCTCAGTCCCAGCAACAAAGAAGAAGGCCGATAAGAAATATTTCATGCCTGCCAAGGGAATGGATTTCCTCTTCACTCATCCTAAACCCAACTCTCTTCTGGTTGATGCAGCACTGCTGAGGGCCAAGAACCCACATTATAGAACCAGTACCAGTGACAAAGAGAGTACAAAATTAGATCTTTTTGGTAGGAAAGCATATTTCTCAGCTACCTTAATGCCAAGGAGGGCTAACTATCCTCCTCGTGAACCATAATTTTGATAATTACACGACACTGAACACACTGATAGAACAACAAATGCCAAATCCTAAAATGCATAGTTCAGAAAGGGTACACTGCTTCACGCACAGCTCTTAAATTGCTCTTGACATCACAGACACAGCTGCACGATCCACGGCAACATCAGTTGTGATGCGCAGAGCTTCTTGGCTGCAATCTGTGGGAGTACCCAAGGAACTGCAGTCGAAAGTGGAGAACCTCCCTTTTGATAGGCAGAAGCTCTTTGCGGAGAAAACTGATGAGGTCCTCCATACCAATAAGGACTCGAGAACTACTTTAAGAACATTGGGCATGCACATGCCACCGTACAGATGCATACACTACACTCCATATCAGAGATGCAGACCTTTCCCTCACTTGGCACTTCGATATAGGGCTATCGACCAGCACTGTCCTAGACAGCGCCCACAAAAACAAAGCTCACAGAACAACAAGATGTCCAACCAGCAGAATAATTGGCAGCTATTTTGATGTGATGGTCGAGGGTCTGCATGCCATTCCACTGTCTAGACATCAATGCAAAGAGGCTCGGTTATTCCATCATCACCTAAGACTATTCCAAAGATGGCCTGTCTTCAGCACCCAGAGTGTTTTCAAAGACATTTGCGGTTGTAGCAGCCTGTCTCATCAAGCCGGGATCATTATCTTCCCTTATCTCAATGACTGTTTGATCAAGGGCCCATCCTTCGATAATGCGGTGCAGTCTACCACCACAATAAGGGCAGCCTTTGAAGCCCTTGGCTTTATAATCAATTTCCTAAAATCGTCTATGACACCACAACAGTCTTTGGAATTCATTGGCATATGCCTAGACTCATCTACTGACCGAGCTTACCTGCCTTTAAATAGATTTCAGATTATTCAGGCGCTCGTATAGGTCCTCTCCACAGGCCCCACGATTTCCCTACTTACCTGCCTTCAACTCATGGGGCATATGGCAGCTATCACATATGTCATAGAGCATGCCAGCCTTCACCTGTGGTGCCTTCAGCACTGGATAGTCTCGATCTACGTTCCTGGCAAACACGACATTCACAGGAGAATTGCAATACCATCAAAAGTGGTAAGGTCTTTGAGTTGGTGGACCGCCCCCGCAAACACGTTAGCAGGCGTCCCCTTCCACCAATCTAAACCAATGATGCAAGTTATGACCAACGCGTCTTTGGTAGGCTGGGGAGCACATCTCAATGGCCATCGCATTCAAAACCGCTGCTCCATACAAGAAACGTCCCACCATATTAACCTCCTAGAATTAAGAGCAGTTTTTGGTGCGTGCAAACACTAGCAAGCTTCCTTTAGTTTTTCCTTTTGTTTTAGCAAGATCAGACTAACACAGGTACCTCTCTGTTACTATGCAAACACTTTGTCACTCTTATCTGGGGCCACACCATCAGGGTGCTTACCAACAACATGACCACGGTTTTCTACATAAACCGTCAGGGAGGACCTCAGTTGTGCTCCCTCAGTGGTGAATCCACCACAACGTAACGATTCTAGCATCGTACCTACCTGGCAAAGACACCACCACTGCCAATGCACTCAGCAGGTACTTTGTCACAAACCACGAATGGAAACTACATTATCGGGTGCTACAAGTTGTCTTCTGCCTCTGGGGTTTCCCAACTATAGACCTATTTGCCACATATCAAAATGTGAAATGCCTGTACTAATGCTCCAGAGCGGCCATTGGACCGAGATCCCTGGGAGATGCTTTTCTCCTCGACTAGAGCGCTCACCTCCTCTACTCATTTCCTCCGACTCTCCTGATACCAAGAGTCTTAGAAAAGATCACCAGGGACAATGCAACAGTAATTCTCATAGCCCCCTTTTGGCCGCGTCAGACATGGCTCCCTTATCTTTCTCGCGTGTTTCCTTGCCCACCATATCACCTACCTAGACGCCACGACCTGTTGACCCAGGACCAGGGAACACTAGTGCACCCTCACACTAGTCTCACAGCGTGGTTCCTAGTTGGTTCAGAGACTCGGAAATTATCTGTTCCCCGCTTTGGAGTTTCTTCTTTATGTTTTTCATATACTCAGCGATTAGGAGGAACTGGCAAGAGCCGGACTGCACGCTCTAGGAAACGGTGTGAGTGGCACGAGGTGCCTAACACACATATGTGGTCCGGCAGCCCACTGCTGACAAATCTCGGATCTGCGGCATCGGGACAAACCCGACACCTACAATGGAGCACCCACAGGGACACACATCTCAAAAAACTGTCATTACTGCACCAAGGTGAGTGACTTCCTCTTTTCTGAGATCCTTTTGAAGCTCTTCATAGCCTGCTTTAGGCTTAAACTGCTCAAGATATTTAGTAACATCTGAAAATTTTGCAGCTCACTGATTACCCCTTTTTCAGATCATTTATGAATATGTTGATTAGGATTTGTCTCAGGGCAGACTGTTGGAGGACACCACTAGCTACCTCTCTCCATTCTGAAAACTGACCGTTTATTCCTACCCTTTGTTTCCTATCTTTTAATCAGTTATCAACCCATAAGAGGACCTTCCCTCTTATCCCATGACAACTTACATTAAGAGCCTGTGGTGAGGGACCTTGTCAAAGGCTTTCTGGAAATCTAAAGTACACTGTATCCACTACATCCCCCTTGCCCACGTGTTTGTTGACCCCACCCCCCCAAAGAACTCTATTAGATTAGTAAGACATGATTTTCCTTTACAGAAAACATGTTGACTTTCCCCCAACAAATTATGTTAATCTATGTGTCTGACAATTCTATTCTTTACTATAATTTCTACTAATTTGCCCAGTACTGACATTAGACTTAACAGTTTGTAGTTGCCAGGATCACCTCTAGAGTCCTTTTTAAATATTGGTGTCACATTTGCTATCTTCCAGTCATTTGGTACAGAAAATATTTTAAAGGTTGTGTTACAAACCACAGTTAATATTTCTGCAATTTCAACATTTGAGTTCTTTCAGAATTCTGGGATGATGCCATCTGGTCCTGGTGACTTGTTACTGATTAGTTTATCAGTTTGTTCCAAAATATCCTCTAACGGCACCTCAAACTGGGACAATTCCTCAGATTTGTCAACTAAAAAAATGGCTCAGTTTTGGGAATCTCCCACACATCCTGAACCATGAAGGACTGATCCAAAGAATGCATTTTGTTTCTACGCAAAGACCATATCATCCTTGAGTGCTCCTTTAGCATCCTGATTGTCCAGTGGCCTCACTGGTTGTTTAGCAGGTTTCCTGCTTCCGATGTACTTAAAAACATTTTGCTATTACTTTTTGAGTTTTTGGCTAGCTATTCTTCAAATTGGCCTTTTGGGCCTTCCAAATTATATTTTTACACAGTTTATGCTTCTTTCTACTTTCCTCACTAGGTTTTAATTTCCACTTTTTAAACTATGCCTTTTTTGCAAGGAGGTTTAACCTGCAAGGAGGTTTAACAGGTAGTTCGATTTAGGGCTTTAATTCGAAATATCAGGTCCCTGCCGCGTGTAGTCCGGATTTGTAAATTTCAAAAATGGCAACCAGCCGGGAAGATGCAAATCAAGGGTGGGATATTTAAATCCTGGGCTTGATTTGCAACTTCGAATGCCTACATTAGCCTCCCTAGTTCGAACTACGGGGCTAGTGTAGACATACCCTAAGATAGATTAAGTGAACTGAACCTGCATATTCCATTGTTGTAAAAATACACATTGATTTAACTGATATTCCTATCTCTGTACTTTCAGAGACTGGCACCTGGAGTTAGTCAATTTGCTTACACCTGTGTACAAGACCACTCTATATGGGCTAACCAACAGTTTTGGGAAACTACATTTTATAATGATGTGCAAAATCAAGTTCGTTCTCTCTATCTCACAGCTAAGGAAGACTATCATTTGAAGAAAAAGGTAAGAGAATATATAAAATAAATGAAGTACAAAACAAGTATGTTACTGCAGCATAAGGGCTGACATTTTACATGCAAATAAAGTCATGAAGATGTAAATTATGGCTCCCACCACTTGTATCAATGTAGTGTTTTCTTGTTACCATTTATAGATTAAATGTGAGATTATTAATTTTGTTCCATAATCTTCATCTCAAATGTACCTAATGTGAAGGAGTCAGATCAGAAGGCTATAAAAAGGAATGGAGGGGCAAGATCTAAGCCTCAGACTGAGGAGATCTCTGCTCCCAAAGTAACAGGGAGGGGCCACTTTAGAACCAGCAGAGGCAATCAGGGGCAGTGAAACACTTGGGGCTAATTGACCAGGCCTGCAGAGTCAGGCCAGCCTAGGCCAATTAGGACACCTGGGGGTAATTAAGAAAACCAGTTCAGACTGGCTATAAAAGAAGCTGGGAGGAAAGAGGAGAGAACCACTGGGAATAGAAGGAATGGAGACAACAAGTAGGAGGATGGACCTGAGAGAAGGAAGGTTCTGGGGAAGGTGTGAGGAGATAGCCCAGGGGTCTTGACGCTGTCTTATAGAAGGTGTCAGAGATTCACACAAGCAGCTATTATCACAGGGCTCTGGGCTGGAACCCAAAGTAGAGGGTGGGCCCGGGTTCCCCTCCTCCCCCAACACCCACCTCCCATTTTCCATTCAGGGAAAAGGACTGTGAAGTTTATTCTCCATTTTATGAAGCTCTGGCCAATGATGAAAAGATCTCAACAAACAGCAAATTAAAGCCCTGGGCATGGTGCCTAAAAACTGTGGGCACCTGTGAGCCTCTGAGGCAAGCAGATTCACCAGGAAGTGCAGAACGCACCAAGTTTCCGTAGATGCTTTGTCACACTAAGTTATGGGGAAAAAAGTTGTGAAGATAACTTGTGGGCATATTTTACAGTGGGCATATTTTATTGCCCTTGATTAATGCAGGTTAATGACAAATAAAAAAAATTACCACCTGATTCCCAAATGTATCCATCACAGGGAGTTATGTCCTAGTATGAAGTTCTGAAGTTCATTGCTTTTTCATTTTTAACATTCCATTAAAATATACTTTCCGTTAATATCGTAAACAAAAAAGTCCTATTTGTGAATTTATTTTATGCAAACTTTATATTATATTCCAGAGATATGTTGCTAAGTAGGAAACCAGCTTTTAGCCTTTTTGACTGATCGGCTTTTGGCTATCTTAGCTTGAGATTATGTATAGCTCCTAAACAGCATAATTCACTGTCCCAGATTGCGAGAATGGATGTTTGATATGTGCATTCAGAAAATACTAAAGTAAGAACATTACCACTACATTGTGTATAGGCATGCCAGGTGTAATCTACTGGGCCATCTCTATCCTCTTGTGTCATGTGAACTCTCCAGGAGCACCATCCCTAGTCATGTGATTTGAGAGATAAGTACTGCCAAGGACATATGATGAGAAGAGAGAGAGAGATGCCAAGTATAGTTCCACATAACCATATGGGCTTGGGAAGAATGAGATACAGAGAAGACACTCTCAGCCATGTGGTTTGTGAAGGCGATGGGAAATGTTGTTGAATGATGAAGTGTCTTGTCCTCTTGAGGTGTAGGAGAAGCTTCAGAGGGAAGGAAAGTGCAGTAGGAGAGGAGGCACAGGCAGACACCCATATTCACAACTCAAAATAATGTCTGATATTACTGAAAATTACTTGGAAATTTTCTTCCACTTCAGCAGATCCCTACTATTTTAATTCTTTATCACTAGCTAAATGAGAGTGCCTTATATCAGCTACCAGATGCATTTGTCTGAATTTCTTCAGGCTACCATATAATTTGCCTATGTGCCACCTATCGAGTTTACACAGAGCAAATGCTTAAATTGGAATCCAGCATGTGAAAACATGAACATTTAAGCTGTGATATAAACTATTTATATCTATGTAAGGCAGTTAGCTGCATGTTGTTTCTCTATCCAATTCAAGCTTCATCCCTGCCCAAGTTAAGACTGCAAGCTGAAAAGAAAGGCTATATAGTAGACTGTTAAACCAAACTCAGTAAAAGAATACATGATGGTATGGGTTAGAATTTAATCAAGCTATGATATTGAAATTGATTACAATATGCTATTTGCATTATTTCAGTACAATACTGTCATTCACTATGGGATGCAATCCTTAAGTGCTATTACCAGTGGCTATAACTGCTAGATTTATTATTTTTACATTTTAAATAATGAAATGAAGAGTTCAACACTTCGGAATTAATGTTAACATCTCTTTTCTTAATGTTAGTAATATAACTCTGTCATCTATTGTTTTTATCTGGCAATATTTGTTATAGGAGAAAAATTCCGTAGGTCTAAATCAGGAGAAAACCGCCATGGACCTGGCAGCTGAGCAGTTGCGTTTATGGCCAACATTCAATAAAGAAACACAGCAGGAGCTAATACAGAATGAGGAAAGTACAGTTTTCAGTCAGGCAATTCATTTTTCTAACCTCATGGTATACCTGCTAGTGCCTCTGGATACAAGTAAGAACAAACTATTGAGAACATCAGCTACAGGAGACTGGGAGAGTGGCAGCAACAGCATTGTCACAAATAGGTGCGTAAATGAAGACGTGATTTGATAATAAGCAATTGTGGCAAATAACATTATCCTTTTTAGCAAAAACACAATTTTAATTATAAAAAGTAAACACAGAAGCAATTTACAATAATAATAGTTCATGTCCTGTGTTAACAACCTCTGTAGTAATGTAAAAATAAG